CATACGCAAGGCTTAAATAAACATAATTATCTCTTAATACACCATAGTTTAATTCTGTTTAAAACAGGGATACCAGCTGAACTGGAAAAATTGTACTCTCGAAAAGCTTGGTTTCAGAACTTTCACTTGAACCAAAAATGAAATAATCGGAAACAGTAACACGTTAAATGCCCCAACTGCTACAGCAATATAGAGTATTTAAAATGAAGATGGTTGTTGACTTGCACATGTATTTAGAGCATATCTTTGCACAACTAATAAGTGAAGTGTGATGCATGTGTGTGTTGCTGTGAGGAAGGAGTAGACAGTGACGAAAGGGAAGAAGCTTCTCACATCAAAAACTCAGCTAAGAGCAGCCCCAGCCTCTGCTCACTGAAGCGGTTCATGAACCTATCAAGTGGCTACATATATGTGAGCCAACATTGTGTGTACGTGCACACACAAGGGTGCCAATGTGCCTTCATGAGCATGTTTAAGCTGTCCATCTGAGATGGGCTTTCATTACGGGGTAAATGAACCAACCAAACTAAAAGCAATCAGATGAAGACCTCAAATTGTGGCTTCACAATGAGAAAGGGCATAATTCCCACCGGGACAAAGACTGCAAATATTGTCATACCCTAAAAAGGCTACATGCAGTTTGGAGGCAACAATTTACCAAACTGTGCGTGCTGAAATGGAAATGGCATGTGTTGAATATCGTATGAGAGCGTCCCTGGGTAAATGTGGTGCAGCTGCGCTTTTTGTTTCACACTAAGCAAGGTATAAAGCAAAACATTTACCAAACCAAACAACACGAATAATGGGCAAAAACAAAGGGTTTAAATGACAACAATGCAACAGCTTCCTCAACACCTTGGAGAGTACCTTCAACAAAACCCCAATCAACAACTTGAAACAAATCAGTCACAGACCTGAGACAAGCTAGGATATGCTAGGTGACTTAGAAAAAGCACAGTGCATTAGGAAATTAACAAAGAAAAAATTCTGTGAGATGTCCCATGATGTCTTAGATGCCAATCAAAGAGTGTCATTGGTCTAAGTCAGAGGCCAAAGGAAGCATGACTGTTTTGGCTGGCAACCTGTCGGAACTTTAATTTAGGAAAGGGAATGGGGTGCCAGACAGAAATTCTGCCAGTATAATTTCCTGTGGGATGTGACCTTTGCCTTTGGTGGGAGTGGATCACATCTGCCACAGTAATTCTCTTATCTAATATACACCCCTTCTTCTCACCCGCTATTTCTTTTCACTTCTTCTTTTAGCTTTAATAGTTTCTTTTTGTTTATTATGCTTTATGTTCTCATTTCTTACTTTTTTGCATTTGGCATGTATATATATATATA